CTATATATATATATATATATAGTCATTTAAATTACTTAATAAATTTATAGAAGTAGGAATCACTTTCCAGCACGTTGTTGTGCAAACAAAAAAAAAACGATAAATATTAATAAAGATAAATCAACGTACGTGAAGAAGCCCCTATTGTACAAAGAAGACACTGTGTGTGTGTTCTGTGTAATATTTTATACTTAAATTCTGTACCTTATATTATACTGTCTTCCACAGGTTTCGCTTTTAAGAGGAGACAAGAATGTGTCAAAATTGTGTTACACTTTATTCTTCATAAGCAAAATGAAAGCAGAAAATAACTAAATCTTAAGCGACGTACTGAGCGGAAACATCGAATTCTTTTCTTTCTCTTTTCTTTCTCTTTCTCTCCCGCCTTCCCTCCTTCTCTCTCTCTCTCTCTCTCTCTCTCTCTCTCTCTTTCTCATTATGCTTTTTGCTAATTTTTCATACCTTCTCTGATGTCTTTGGGTATATTCGATGGGAGCGATGACATGGAAGATGTTTGATAAAAATTGGGTCGTGCGCCGCTTGGTGGCAAAGATGTTATTTTGGACCTGAATTGCACGAGATAATAAATTTATAAATTTACTGTGAGAAACAAAAAATAATATTTAATAATAGAAATAATGTAAGTTTCAAGGCTACCTATATTTGCGATTTTTCTGATTTCTGCCGTCAAAGGAAATCGGCGTACCGGCACCCGAGGTGTTAGACGAAGGTGGCCTGTAAGGCCGCGGGCAGCCTTGAACAACAGGCGGTGATGATACTGGTGCATACTGCAACCGGGAATTGGATGGTACGCCTGAGTGCATCAATCTCATGTCCCCTGTATTTATAAATATTTTAAATGCCGTTTAAAAAACAATTTAACGAATGTATGTTATATTTAAAAGGATTATACCTTGCACTATATGGACACCCTGATACATTGGCAGTGGGTAACGTGGTTGAGGTTGTGCGCTTCGGTCCCCACTCCCACCTCCGAAGAATTCGTGCGCCGGAGTTGGAGACCGGCTGGCTCTTTGGGAGTTACCTGGCGTTGTCGCCCGCACGCTGGGAACAATCTATTTCAAGAAAAAGTCTTTAGTTGTTGACAGTTCCCTGATAACTAATCGATAGTATATAAATGTTTTACTGTTGCATTTTTACCGGAACATTTTGCCTGAAGACGAGATTGGGAACCAGCGTGGGTGCCATATATGCTCCAGGCGGCGCCGGGGACGTACCATTATGGGTGACCTGATGTCCGAATGTTCCACTGGTCACCATTGTCGGGGCTGCGTAGCTACTTGAGTTAACGTACATCAACGGCATACCAGGTATCTATTAATCACATAAAAAATATGAAATACATTAATATTTTATATTAATATCATACTGAGTTTCTAAAAAATATTGTAATGCTTTAATATTTTTTTAAAATGTTTAAAAATTAAACATTTCAAAAAAAAATATTCCAACAAAAAGTGTAGAGTTTTAGGACTACCAAACACAAAATGACATAATGTAATGTTATGCATTGACGCGTAACCTTTTTATTATTTGAATCAATCATCTTATTTCTTGTAAAATTGGTAATTATCAATATGAACAGATTGGTAAATTACTTGACTAGATGTTGGTGTGTTCGGTGGCGTAGGTACTCTGTACATCACAGGCGGTGGTTGCATCGCCGGCTGCCCTGGCGGATAATACGTAGGAATCATTTGAACTTGTGGTTGATACGTATAGTCGCCAGGAGTTGGAGTTACTGCTGGTAACGAATTGTAAGGTACCGGATAACTGCCGACGAAATTAGCTGAAGTACACAAGGTCAATTATTTTAAATAAATTTGAAAGAAATAAAGAGATAAAAATATAATAATTGTGATATAACGTACAACTTGGTTGGCTCGGAGACGTCATCGTTTGCGCGTTGAAAGAATAATTCGTTGGAAACCTCTGTTGTTGATGCAGCTGTTGCCTGTCCCCCGGATTCTGACCGACAGAAATTGTCGTTCCAGGTGGAGGCACAAAATACATAGTCTGTTGAGGCTAAAAAGATTTATCTTTTATCAAGCAAAAGTGACAATGAATGTCAAAGAATACATCGTATATATTTTTTTTTTACCGGTATTTGATTTGGCGATGGTTGCCAATAATTTGGTTGCATTGACTGCACATTTTGCACGGTCTGATTTGCAGAGGGTGGCGGATACGTAGAATGCGGAGGCGTGGAATGGCTGTCCCCATTGCTACGTTGATCGTAAATGTTCATACCTAAGAAATATCCGGATAACTCGGCCATGTCCTGCACATCAGTTACAGCATTATGATTGAGTTTTATTTATACCACAACACATTACTTGCGCAGACTTGTTAAAGCTCGTCAATCAAAACATTTAACAGATTGAAGGACTCTTTCTATACAAAATAACAATAAATAAAGGACAAAGTAAGAGTCAAACACATTTCTTCAAAAAAGTCACACAATTAAAAGAATAAATTATGCAAACATTTCCGATAATTAATTTTGTACTATGATTTTTTTCGATAAGTTAATATCTGAAGAGGACTCAATCCGATAAGCCGAAACTTGTAATTTATTTGTGTTTAAACTGAGTTTTTATTTTATTATATATTTTTTCAATTTTACTTTTCTCTATTTGTAATTTATTCTTTTAATTGTGTGACTTTTTTGAAGAAATGTGTTTGACTCTTACTTGCCCTTTATTTATTGTTATTTATTTCGTCAATCAAAGGCAAATAAATCCTTAAATAATAATTTAACCTAATTTAATCAAAATCTAATCAGAATTAAATGACTAATCTAATCTAACCCTTGATTAGCACCGAATAATATCTAGGAGATATGGGGTAGGAAAGGAGTCACAGACATATGGAAATAATTAGAAAGGAGCGGCGTTTGAATGTTAGCAAAACCAACTGTTCGATCTGGTGATCACAGACTGTGACACTATCAAGACTATTTGTCCTGCCTGCTCAAATAGATGAGTAGACTCCTACGGTGGATTATCCTATCGTCTGGCAAAGGTGATGGCTAGTCACGAATGTTTCGATCAATAACAGTATCGCATGAGCAAGGAGAACACTGAAAAGTGTTTTCATCGTTAGGGCTCGAAGTACCACACAGGTGGAAGTATATTCAGCATGAACAGTGGAGAGCTAAGTCTTGATTGAAGTTGTAGGTAAAGACATTTGGGTCCCAATTCTGGTTCAGTTATGCTTGAGAGCGAAACAGTGGGCCTCCTCCTTCTGAGTCAGTTATGATAAAAAAGGAAGAGCACAAAAAAGTAAGGAGAAGGGAGGTGTTGTTCCCTCTCTCAATTGAGGATGCCGAGGAGGCAATCTGAGTTGAAGTGTCAGCGTCCTTCAGCACATCTACGTGCGCTCATAACAATGAGGGTAAGGAGGGGACATAAAACTCTCTCCCTCGATCTTGGCACAAGTGGAGCGGGTTCGTTCTGTTGAAAAAACGAGGTAACTCGGTAGATACTCATATGGGATTTCATGATTTCCCATGAGGATTTAGGCCAAAAATCTAGGTCCTATATAATTTTTTTATATATGTTTATGTTGCCATTCTCGATCGATTTAATACTATTGCAAAAAAATTTTTACTGTTACACTTACCCCTGACTGTGATATTGGTCCTTGATGCACAGGTACCGCATAATTAGTGTAGACCTGATTCTGATTGAAGACATCGCCCTGACCGCCATTTTGTACACTTGCTTGATTCTGAGTAGGATGAGATGCCATCATCACAGTCGGTTGTCCCATGGGGGGTGGATAGACACCTTGATTATACGGTTCTGAGGTAGGTACGTAGGTCGCATAGGGTTGCTGAGCTGTTTGGTTAGTATGATTAAATATCGGTAGTGTCGTTGACGATTTGACTAGACTTTGCTGCTGCGGATGCGATTGAGATTGGGGCTGCTGTTGCTGCGCTTGTTGTTGCAGAATGGGTGGATTCTGCGGAGCAGAAGCAGGAGGAAGAGGAGGTGGTGGCGGTGGCGGCGGAGTGAATGGCAGGCTTGGCGACGTCGCTGTATTCGTTACTTGGGCCCCGGTAGACGTCCCCGTAACATTAATCCTCGATTGCGGCGATCTCTGTTTCCTATTGTCATTCTTGAGGTTGTTATTCGTTCTGGACGGCTCAGAGGGCAATTCAGAGGGCAATTCCATGTGCTGCTGCTGCTGCTGCTGCTGCTGTTGCTGCTGCTGCTGCTTATTAGCGGACAATGGTGTGCCATTATCATTCTCCATATTAAAGAACTTTGGTGGATTGTCTGGATCATAGCGATAAATCGAGCCGTCCGTGTTCGTATATGGCTGATTGGTTTGTGGATTTATTATTATGCTGCCAGGTGGTACGCTGGACAAACTAGTGACTGCCCACATAACCGTTTGGTCACCGTTCGACTCCGGCGAAATTAAGTCCTGACTGGACACTTGAGTGTGGCTACACGTCATAGTGGCAGGTACGGGGGAAGGTGACAGAGATGGCGATAGCGTCGCGTCGCTGCGCTGACTCTGTGATTTATAACCACTACTCGAACGGCTCGGACTTAAACGTGAACACATGCTCGCCCCAGAATCTACGACACATTTACCACATACGAGATCATCAAAGAGAGCGTGTAAAGGCGACAATAATGCAACAATAAAATATCACTATAGCATTAAAAAATATTTATTTTCAATCTCATATGCAATTAAAAATAATTACCTTGCTTCATAAGGCGAGCTCCTGCGCTATGTGTGGATGTAACACTGTCTCCCCTTGTCAACATGCCTTTGGTATATCCACCGAAACTGAATGACTTAGAAACCGATGGGCGCAATACTCCGCCGCGGAATGAATCCCTTCCATCAAAAGATTCGCCCTTCAGAAGTCGATTTTGTCTGAAGATGTATATATAAACAGTACAGTCAATACAATATTATCGAGAGACATATTCAATGAGTATTTTATAACTATTATCAGGCGCAGTAAAAGCTTAGGTGCGATTTACCTGACTAGATGATCCGGGTGTAGCAAACGAAATTTCGCAGAGGCATCCGAACTCTCCGTCGAGGACCATGGCCAGGACGTAATTTCGCTGCTTTCACCACTACTATCTTTAAATATCCTTCGTCTGGCGCGTTCGTATTCCTCTTCTCGTTCCTCGAAACTCTTGCTACGCCGGCAGCAATCGCCCGACAATCTATCAGGCGATTTGAAGTTAAAGCTATCCTCAAACGAACTCGAATCTCGTTTCAGGATACTTCTTCGCGGTTCCTCCGATAGGATCAGATCATCTCTGATATGCTCCTTGAAGCGAGTATCTGGTATTCGCATGTTTTTCGTCCGCGTGACGATGACGCTTAAACCCGATTGATCCACATTGTGTTCCATCCCGAAGTAAGCTGCTACTCGATGCACCAGCATCCTGTTATACGAAGACATGTTCGGGAATTTATGAGAAACCTTCTGTCGATCTTTCGCGAAATCAATTAAATCTTTCTCAATCTTTAGCAACACTGTGCGATCCTTCTGATTGCGGTTTATAGTTTCCGCAATAAATTGTTCGAGATCTATCCCGGTGCTGTCCGTATACAGCTCCGTGCTACTATCTGTAAATAAATAGAAAATTTGATATTATAGACCGTAATATAAGAATTAAAAATAGCAATTTTCTTGCATAGCAATATTTGGGGACATCGGATATCTCAGTAGGGATAGTTGCCTGTTCAGACAAAAGTTCCGAGTCTACGGATTCTATTAATGCATATTTATAAAATAAAATTATTTCATTGCTATTATCCTGGGTCGGAGATTCAAAAGGTTCGAAAAATAAACTAACTAAAGTTATTTCATGTAAATAATGAAAAGATAGAAGATTATCGACATATTGAAGAAAAATGTGTAAATTATATTTCAAAAGAAAAAACGCTGACAATGATCCAATCATGTGTGTTAAGAGTTAAAAGGCAATGAATTGTACATATTATTATCACACATATCAAGACACGCTGAATCATTTCAATCAAATCGTAGTAGTATAAGTTTGTTAGTAAGAAATAGATTAAGGAACAGGATGAAAAACGTATTATTCAAGCAACATACCGCGCGAAAGACATGGCGATGCGCTATCATAACTGCCTTGGGACGAATTCTGGTGTCTTAACTTGTGCCTAGATCCGGGCCTAGTTACTGAGAGTGTGTTGCCGCATTGCGCCGAGCATTGATTATTACAAATATTCAATGTATTCGGCCTTCGTTGCTCGGATTTGTGCTGATTATTCTGGCCGCACGGAGCAAGATTGGTGCTCTTTGGCGAATGCTGCAACGTTTGACCGCATCTGATGGGTGATATCGGAGTCTGCAATAAACCTGGTCGCTCATTTTGATTGTTCTTTACACAGTTATTGCATTTCTGAATGATATTCGCACTAGCGAATTTGGAGCGGTGGTTTTCCAATTTATTGCCATTAGTTGGAGATGTGATGCTCTTTGGTGAATGTACCTGAGAAGGACTAGATTGACCTGCGAGACAAAAGTCTCGAAATTAAATAGTTTCACCTTTAAAGCTCAAGAAAAAAAGGAAAAAAATCGTTTTACCATTTCGCGACGGTGCCCGACAAGTCGGCGACGTCGCCGTGTTGCGCATCTGTTTGGGAGATTGAGCGGAACAAAGATTGCTATTGAATATGGATTCGTTGTTGTTGAGCTTGGCGCCAGAATTGGGCGAGAGGCTGCATATGATCTTTTTCTCGCCATCCGCCGATTGCGGACTGTGCGGCGACGTTGGACCGTTGCCGTGCGGTTCCCGCGGTGGGGATGTCGACTCTCTCATGGCATGACTTCTGACTAACAGTTTCAGTTTCGTGTTCGTCTGCAACATCAAGGGTTCTTTATGTACATTTGATGCGTCGTCACAATACTGATTCGTAGATATAACATTTTCAATTCGCATTTATTATTCAATATCAGATTCGAAAAATATAAATAAGAAAGGAATAAATGTTTTATAATTTTTTTTTTCAATATCTATGAGGTCTATATCCCAAAAGTATCCGATCTCTGCGTATATTTTTATCCTAGAGTTGAGAAACATTACTTTTTTCGTCACTTTTCCATTACTTTTTATAATAAACATGACGTTGCACTCGACTTTTCTAACTTTAGCACAACCTTAGCGTTTAGTTATAAAAAATTACAACGTCATGTTCATTATAAGAAGCAACGGAAAAAGTAATGCTTCCCAACTCTGTTTTGTCCTTCCCAACCCTGCTTTGTCATTTTCCCTCTATTGTGAAAAACAGACATTCAATATTTAGGAAGGACCTTGAGAAGTACCAAGTCGTAGAACGGCTGTTCAGTCAGCAATGGGTACGCAGTTGTGTGAGCGTCGAAAACTTTGAGCATCGCAATAACATTCATCTTACCTGATTCAGGATTTTTTTACTAAACTAGTCATTGTCTAACTCAACTTCGTCAATCCTCGTACAGTCCCGTATAGTCCCGTGTGACTTCTGATTATTTCCCAAGTTGAAAATCCATTGAAAAGCAAAAAGATTTTACGATGTTAAAGAAAACTACAAATGCCGTGTCGTTTCGTAGGGATATTCCTCAAGATCTACTTTAAATAGTGAATGTCTGTTTTCTACAATAGAGGTGCATTCAATAAAATACCTAAGGACAAAGATATATGCAGAGGTTGAATATTTTTGGGAAAAACTTCGTACACTCAGAGAAAAAAGTCATATCAGCAAGTAGAAATTTGAAGACAAATAATGCCTCAATTTACGTATTAAAGTTCTAATAAAAACAATAAATAAGTTATATAAACTAATAAAAAATTTAGTAATATTAGTTATTTACTACAAAATGATTAAATATTACTATATTTTCATAATTCATTTAATTTATTTGATGTTCTTATTTAAAACTTTATAATACATAGTTGCGACGCTATTTGTCCTTAAATAAAAGTGTGTGTGTGTGTGTGTGTGTGTGTGTGTGCGCGCGCGCGCGCGCGCGCGCGTGCGTGCGCGCGCGAGTGTGCGTGTGTGTGCGTGTATGTGTGCGGGCGATACATTTTAATCAACACACCTGAATTTCTCCGGAATTATGCAAGATATCGAAATTCTATTTTTACGATGTTATGTAGTGTCGAGAGGGATATATTTTAATTAATTAAGATTTGACTTTGAGTGAAAGCTTGAGTTGAATTAAATTCAAATGAGGATTAAATTCATTTTTGTAAACGGCAACCTAATTTTTTAAACACCTACGTTTGTAATTATACTCATTCCGAGCTCAATACATTATGACTCAAGGAAGATCTTCTTGTCGAAGATCAAATAGCCAAACGCGAATTTGCATTAATAGCCTTCGTGCATGTTCGAACTTCTATCCCTGATGACTACAAATGCAGAGAGCAATAAGATGTCTAATATCTGTATTCATAGTCAGACTTATATAATATTTAATATTTAAGGCTTCCTTAAATTTATCTTCAGATACTCAGTAGCCAATAAAATAATTCTTAGAGTATTTGAAGATAAATTTAAGGAAGCTTTAAATGTAAGACCTGACTACGAATACGGGCATAAATGATCGCGACACATTTGATAGCATTGTCAGCGAAAAATTTTGATAGGCCGTTGTAAATCGCGTTTTCAACGCATCAGAATTATTCAATTTTTTACGATATACAATATTCTTACGGTAGCTCCAAAGAAATCTAATGGCGTTAGGTCTAGTGATCTAACTGGTCAGGTAATAGGGCCATTTCTTCCAATTCAGTGTTCTGGAAACATGTGATTTAAAGTATTTTGGACTCTGCAATCGTAATGAGGAATTTTTGTAATATCGTGTATCCAGATACAGTGAATGCTAAAGTCACGTTATTTAGTGAAAAATAGAACCGTGTATGTACAGTTTGACTTTCCACTAAATAAATATATCGAATTCGTTATGAATATGACTACAAACGTAAGTATTTAAAAAATTAGGTTGCCATTTATAAAAACGAAGTTGACCTTTATTTGATCTTTATGCTTACATCAAAGGTCAAATCTTGTTAACCAAAATATGTTCCTATTGATATCACTTAACGTAAACAGAATTTCGACATCCTGCATAGTTTAGAAGAAATTCAAATGCGGTTATTAAAATGGGACATCTTATATACACATATAACTTTTCCAGTAATAAAGTTACTGAATTTTTGTACAGTACTAAACTGTTGTACAGTACTGTACTGTCGAGATGTAGGTATTTCTCATTTACTTTTGTTTTCGAAGTTCAAAGCCAATGCCGCGCCTTTTATTATATGCTGAGAGGTTTTCTTCTTAGGAGAAATTGAACTTCACTGCGTCTCTCTGGTGATAATGTCGCATACTGTTCGTGGAGTAAGCGACTTTAATGAAGAACTTCTGAATGTATTTTTATCTCAATGATTAATTAGTTATTATAGCATTATGCTTTATTTTAAAAAATATTTGTCTAATATAGAGAAAAATATAAATAGTATATCTTATTTGATAAAGTCTAAGTAACTACACATTTATTGTATTTGAGTCATTATTTCACTATTAATTAATAGTATATAAATGTTGTCGTAATTGATTTCTTTAAGAAAAAAAGTCACAAAAAGTCACCTATTTTTCAGCCTCCTGAACCAGACGTCCCCTTTAATAACTTCCTCCAAACTTAAAGTTTCTAATGAGATAGGATAAGCAGAAAATAATGACCTAGCAGTGATTATGAATGGAGTACATACCCGATTGCGAAAGTTCTTGCTTTCAGTGTCCGATTTATCGGATGACGAACAGAAGGAAGCGGGACGGTGGAGCGAGTTCGGTACGGGGGATGTGCCTACGTTAGGGTTGGCATTCCCGTCTATCATATCTGATTCCGAGGTGTCCTGATGAGGCGCACCACCGCAGCCACTTATGGCAAGGCCTTGCTTGGAGGACGGCAGTGAGGGCATTCCTCCTTGCACCACCACCGTAGGACTCTCAGGTCGATCCTGCGACCTGCTTCTTTTATACACCACTATGCTCGGTACTGCAATAATAAATGCACGTAATTACATTGCTATGCAGCGGAGATTTATGCAGGATGTTTCGATTTCAATGACTGATTTAAGAACGATTTTCTGAACAAAAAAATATCAAGTTATCGCCAGATGCGATTTTTCCAATCTTTTCTTTTTAAGGTCGTACATACATATTATATTTGTGACTAAAAGCTTTAAATCAAAATTCCATTACAAAAGAATACATTGAGAAACTAATTAAAGAACACAATTAATAACTAAATAAACTAATAAAATAATACGTTCCAAGCTTAATTGTTGATTCTAAGACTATAGATGCTTGTTCATTTTTGCTGAGGAAGAATCAATTTCAAATCAACTGAAGGCTTTGCAGTGAAAGAAACATCCGATTGTTTCGACAGGTCAATATCGCTAATTTGCTACAACATAACTAAAAGACAAAACAATGTTTTTTCAGAAAATAAGTTTAAATTAGACTTCGTTTCGCCCCGTAAAGTAATGAAATTTTTTATTAATAACTTTTTAACAAGTAACGAGCACCGAACCTAAAAAAAACCTGTGGAGATCATTCAAGATCATGACTTTGACAACATATGTCAAGATCATCGAAGCTAGATCCCCTGTAGTAAATATTTTCCAATTTTCTTTTCCATTAAAAAGCTATGTTTCATAATTTACGGTCAGTACTGAAAATCTATAGTGTATGTAACGTAACCTATAGATTTTTAGCGCTGGCAGTGAATTTTGGAACACAGCCTAAAGCCCTAAACATAATGATAAAAATAACGATAGCGATAGAAGCAGAGGAATCCAATATTCGGGAATGTATATATCAATGGAACATATAGAAACATATAGAATAAGGCAATAGTGGTAAATTTCCGAGTTAAAATTCTGTGTTTATCGCCTTATAGCCTACTAGTATAGCGGTCAGATTTTTCATTCTGTTCACATACGTTATAACTGTGAAGCAGATAGAAGAGTATATACTGCAGTCTATACGCGATCAGATTGATTGGCCTTTTAAGCCCATTCTACAATTACGTAAGCGTAATTGTAAGTGGTTGTAGTCAAGAATTGTCTAATCACAATCGAATATTCTTCAAATTTGATTGTGATTGGTCAATTCTTGCAATTACACAACCTCTCACAAATACGTTTGCGCGATTATAGAATGAGCTTTATTTCTTTCGCAGCATGGTGTAATGATGGAAGGCGACAATTATATATCACTTATTTCTATACTATTCCTCTCACTGTTCTTGTCGTTGTTATCTCGCATTATGTCTGTGGAGCTTAAGAGTTATTAAAAACTCAATTATATTATTCTACTAATAACGTGAACTTCAAACATTTGTTCCTTTTTAAGTTGTAAACAACTTAAAAATCACATTTTTGAATTATATCGTTGTAGCAAATAAGTTTTATTGTACTTATTGTTTCTTCGTACTTCCTTTAATAATTCTTTATATTAACGTTTCAAATGAAAACGTATGAAATAAGCAATTATCATTCAAGCACATTCAATTGAGCAGTAGCCAGTGTGATATTTCTAAGTGTGATATTTACAGAATATATCAATCTACGATATTAATGGACAATGGAGATTTCTTTCACTTCCGACGCAATCCCGACCGTCTCTCCCCTATAAAGATGGTTATGTGTATATATATGTGTACGATAAACCGTTTCGCCGATCCTGTCATTGCGAAAATAAAACGAGGCAAAAGATTCTGCGAAAATATGGAAAATACATGTGAAAAAGACACTTACTCTCCAGGCGGGCCATGTATTAAATGCGTCATGGGGTTACAGTGCAGTACACCTTGCAATTTGTGGAAGTTTAACACATACACGTAGGTGCGACTAGCAATTAGTACGTGAATCTTTTGAATAGCTGTAGCACGAGAGGCTGATACTAGGTGCCAGTCCACCTTCCGACATCATATACTCTGTAAGCAGATATAACAACGCATGCTTTCATGTAAAAAACGCAAGCGTAAATATTCGTTTGAGTTTACTTCTATCCTTTTTCGAGATACAGATAGAAAATAATAAACGTGCGCGAAAAAATAACGTATGTCGAATAACAAATAGCAGCGCAAACTATTTACAAATTCGATTGGACGCATTGATGCATATTAAAGCCGTTGTTTTAATCATTGATTTAATCTGAATGTTAAAGTTGAGAATGTTGAAATGCAAATATTTCAAATTATAAAAAATATATATATATTTTTTTTTACTTAACAGCGCAATAAAAGAACTTCGAAGATCCGTTTCCTTTTAAGTTGTAAACGACAACTTAAAAATCACAATTTTTCAATTATAACGTTGTAGCAAATGAGCTATAATATTTAATCTGAACTGTTCAATCCTTTTTTCTATATTAAAAAAAACGTTTTAATTATACGTGGTAAAATGCATTTAATGAGAGGATACAAAATTTCTAGGTGTTATGATTAGACTTAATATTTTATAGCTAAAACATTTGATAGATTTAACTATAAAAATTTAATTAATATTTTCAGTTCTATACAACTTCTAGTTATATTTATAGTAGACATTTCTTTTTACTAAAAAGTTATACTAACCTAATTATAAATAATTTTCGAATTATTAATAAATTCTGTGTAACAAGAAGGAATTAATCATATACTCATCCGATAATTTCTAGACAAATTTTGTTTGTTTATTTCCAAGGAACATATTTAAATTTAAACGGACATTGGTTAAATCAAAGTTTAAATCGATCAGATTTCTAATTTATACAATCAGTTTTTTTTTCTAATGTATTCTCAAAAGATCTTAGCGATCTTTTCTACGAAAAGTAAATTTTTAGACTTTTCCAGGTAATAAATATATCTTATTAATGTATCATACGAATGCGATAACATCGTTATATTTACAATTTCATACACTCTTCCAAAGTTAGTAACGCTACTGTTGAATAATATTTTACTGTTAGAATAAATAATAATAATTATATTACTTGCTAAAAAGAAATGGAAAAATTTTATAATTATTATATAAAGATCGAGAGAAAACTGTTATTAATTAGAAAAGGACATTACATAGTCGTATGTAAAGCGCGTCCAATAATTGTTACTTAGCGAAGGTAAATGTTAAGCTACTATGAATCACGAGCTTCTATAGGTCAGCGTTATACCATGACTCATTTATTCGCGTAACGTTATAGGATTATTAAATGATGAATTTGCTTTCGTACCAAAGTGACAATATGACATACGGAATATTGGAAAGTACTCAGTGGTATATATATTTTTACGCATCATCGTGTGTAACGAGATGTTATTAAGAGAGCATTATATATACGCTTGATCGCAATTACGCAGTTACGAAGTTAACCGTAAATATAAATGAACGAATTTCGCATCGGGAATAACTGATTGTGTTTTTATTAATGCACGATGTTTTCCCACGAAGCGAAAATTTAATAACCCGGTTGTGCGTAGATGCATCAATATCTGACAAATTGGTTCGAATTGCCAATGTAATAGCTGTGCGTTGTGTAAATAATGAAAATGTGATAAATATTTTGGGCATGAATAAAATGATCAAGTTACACGAGTGATGCAGGCATCAGCATTGCATGCTTGCAATTATTAACTATTACAGAATATCATTTATCGTTGTTGCTGATTATGAGAGCGATTCTAATTTGCGATTTAATCGCCGTGAGAGTTCATTTTCGTACACTGATTACAGCTATAGCAGAGATTTCAATCTATCTTTCTTTACGTTACTGCACGCGAACATTAAGAAAAATGTCTTAATTATACCAGCAGAACGTACATATACGTTTGATGAGACCAATCATAATTTCTGGTTATCATAATTACATTCGACATTTTGTAACGAAAACATTTGATAGGCTTAATTAATAAGAATTCGATTAGTATTTTCGGTTAAATCTATAAAACTTCTATGTTCATTACATGTTCTTTCATTAAAAGAATATTATGACTTTCAAAATGAATTTAGAAAGGTTTTTGGGAAATTCTGATATATTTAACAGAAAAGTTAATTATACTCGTCTGGTAATTTCAAGAAAAATAATCTTAAAGTTGTGTAGGCTCTAATGATAGAAAAGCTCTATTCGTTTATCAATAGACACACTGATTAAAATCTAACAGATTTTTCCAATTTATGCAATCAGATTTTTTTCCAGTGAAAAGCTAACAAGATCTCCGCTCTGTAATTAGAGTTTACGGAAATATTTCGCAATGAACAAAACGGCGATTGCAACGAAAAAGTGGAAGACGCCGATTTCACGATTCGCATATAAGCAAGGCGACAAGGTTAATTCTCCCTTATTCTCCAAACAAACCTCCAGTTAAATTCAACGGTCTCCATATCGGCTAATTGCGAAAGTGCACGTATCATCACGTTAAATTTAAACCGGAAATGCGACTGCGGCGTTCCGCGGTACTCGTGCTTTTCCTCCACGCTTCTGCCGCATTCCTCTTCGCGACGCGGATAAATTTATCCTCCATTCTCAACGACGACGCTCCAATCACAAATCGTCCTCGATCGTCGTCGATTAGACGCAGCTTGCATTTTTCAATTTTCCTTAGCTTTCGTACTGTTTCCTTTCAGCCCCTCTCTCTCTCTCTCTCTCTCTCTCTCTCTTTTTTTATTATCTGTATATCTTTATAATCAACGAGACAATTTTTCGTGCACACTCAATGATCAATCATATGATTATGCACATCGTTCATCCATTCCCATTTCCTTCCACCGCTCATTCAATCAAACTTTTGCTTCTTCCCTGCTAATCGAATCGTGCCGATTAATCAAATTCTTATTTTAGACACCACTCTTTCCAGTGGGATAATACTTTCGTGTTTGCATCGTAAATAGGATCGGAATGATCTGCATGGAATTCTCTTCCATTACCAAATCGAATCGTGTTTGTTAACGCGATTGACTCGCATAATTTTCATAATTCTCTTCTTCTCCAATACTGATCTTACTTCTATGTGCCTCAAGTAATTGTGCACAATACTGTCGACCGTCTGCGTAAGTATAATCGCCAATAAACACGCTCAATCTGGCAAAAGTGACTCGAATTATTTGTCGATCTGTAGAGTGTGCGGCGATCCACGGAAAATAGATTTTTCCTTCCTCAATCTATTCTCGTCGGTTTTCCAACTATTACTCTATCGACAATATCCCCCCCCCCCCCTCGGGGATCGCGTCTTGCTCGTAAAAGTGATAGCGGGACATCATCATCGGAAACGATCTTTGCTATGAATGAGAAATATGATGATCGTCAGGGCAAAGCCCACCAGAGAGCCCACCAGAGAGATGTACGTCGATGATGGCTCTGTTATAACAAAAGATATCAACGTGGTCTTGAGATTATAGTCGAGCATCCAATTTTCCGTCACGGTTCGCAGCAATCTATTATCTCCTAGAACGTTTTGTACGATGACTTTATTATAAGGAGGATTAAGCAGAAACCCTCGTCAATCGGATCAAGAATTATTCTCGACGAACCGTTGCGTTCCTAAGAATAATCCGAGGGATTATCACAATATTCCTTATCATTGATCACAGGACAGTGCAAGATGTCCATATCCCATTGACAGACAAATTTACGTCGTTAGCAAGCTCTAGATATTCCATCAACTGATTCACGTCGCGCTCCAGAAATATCCTGGGAAACTGAAATCGCGCTATCGCTCGACGATCGATCGACGATCCCATCAAACGAGCCGGTTCGAGCGGAAATGCAGGTTATCGCGACCTTCCGGCTTATGATTCTTGAGGGCCAGGAAGGCACACTTTGGCAAGACTTCGCGGCGTCTCGAAAATAGCAGAACGCTCTCTTCTCTTCCTCTCTCCTTTCCTTCCTCTCGTTCCTAGCGTGCGCGGAATCTGGTGCCGTCACAAGTTTCTCTTTAGTGTTCACTGTGTGTCGTGCACGTATTCCACGGAATTCACGGAATCGAGGCGCGATCCTCGCCAAAAGGGAAACGAACGATGGAAGAGCGAGCGAGCATCGTTTGGAATGGAAACGGAAAGATGTAAACGAGCGTTGTTACAATTCGGCGATGACGACCTGGACCAGCTGCAAGCTTTGCCGAACGTAACGTCACGTCACCGCGGTATCGCTTTGCGCGAGAGACTGAGAGAGGCGCGCGCGGCGCGCGGCTCACCCGATCGAGGAAGAGCGGCAAGGGGATGTCTGGCACGTCGGAAGAAACGAGAATGTAGCGAAAGCA